TGCGATAGCTCTGCGGCTCGGGGAAACAGCGACAAAGCGGTGCCTCTGTCGGGATGTGCAGGTCCCTGTCTGAGCCCGCGGGGACCCGTCTCCATCCCAGGGTGGTCGGAGCTGGTGGCCCCATGGGGGACGCGCCTGTCCCGCTGGGACTGTCACTGTCCCCCGCTCCTCCAGCCTGTCCCCGAGACCTGGCTGATGGCCACACTGGGCAAAGCTGTTGCAAGCCCCTGTCACCCCGCAGGACCGGCCTCTTCAGCTGTCTCCCAGCTGGCAGGAGCAGAGCAGGGTGCGCAAGGATGGGGTTCTGCTACTGCCCAGAAAAGGGATATCAGGGGCTCTCTCCCGTCTCCATTTCCAGCTGAGGTGACCCAAGTACTGTACAGGGGTCTCCAGAAATCTCCAATAGGACATTTCATTTCACGTCGAATGAGTGTGCCTCCCCCTCTTCAACCCTGGTGCTGCTGGCTGGATTTGCTAAGGCTGAACTGGGAGCATAAAGCATGAACGAAGGTGTTCCTGCTCTTGCTTTGCAGTCCAGCAAGAGGAATTGTTGCTGGTTGTTGGTTCCAGACCTGGCAGAACTCTGGGCTGAACTGGGACTGCCCTCCCTGGATGGTGTCTCCCTTTCTTTGTCCAGACATCTGCAGCCACACACAGCCTTCATCCTCTGCATCCGCCCCAAATCATGGTGCAAAATGAATGACACCCATGAGAGAAGAAGCCTTCATTTGTAGCCCAGGAGACCCTTTGGGTTCTGTTGCCTTGTGCTCCATTTACAGCCAGATTTTCCCCTGCTGCCTGACCTGAACAAGGCCAAGACCTGCACTCCTGGGACCCTGTCTGACTTCTAGCACTGGTGTTGCTCTGGGGGAACTGGTAGAGAGAAGTCAGCCCCTGCTCTGGTTCAGACACATTCCCTTGTTTTGGGAACAGGACACAGCCTCCTGCCAAGGCCAACAGGAGTGACTGGGACACTAAAAGGGCAGATCGGCTCCAAGGGACATGACTCCCAGAATGTCTCTCTCCACCATGTCCCTGTGCTAGCAGCTGGACCAGCACCTCTCTCCTCCTGCAATCAAATAAGCAAAGCCAGCCCTGGGCATGGCAAATGGCCAAGGCAGCAGAAGCCAGGACATCAGACCTCTCCTGTCCATCTTGCCTGCCTTCAAGTGAGATTTCTAGGGATGGTTTCTCCCAGCTACAGTAATTTGCCCAGTTCTCCCAGCTGTGCCAGTAGCAGCAAGCTGGGCCCTCCCAGTTTACTTGCACCGGGAATAGACTGTTTTTGTAGCCCTCAGGCTCTCGTCCTCAGCACAGCACAACCCAGCTGTGCCATGCTGCAGTGCCAGCCTGGACCAGCTTTGCAAAGGGCCCCAACTCCCCAGCAGCTCATCCCAGCTCCCACAGCCCAGGGCAGAGCAGCCTGCTTGGATGCTGTAGTGGGGAGGAGCATAGATGGAAATGGGAGGAAGCACTGGCTTATTTCAGACCCCCCTGTGGCTACTGGAATCTGTTACCTGATGTCCCCTGCCACTTTGCACAGCAGGCAACTGTCCAGCTTTGCACCCTTTTGCTATACAGCTTGTCACCCCAAAGGGAGGGGAACACTGGGAACCCCCACCACTCCTGAGCAGGGGGAATGGCTACCAGCTCCCTGAGCTGCCCCAGCAACAAATCTGCACTGATGTGCCACAGGGATCAGCTCAGCGTTTGTATTTCCCAGGGTATGGCAACGGGCTGGAATGCAGCCTTGGACTGCTGCGTGGGATGGAAAACTGTGCTACATTTCGGCACTGTTACGACCCATCTGTACACCAGCACAGAGATGGGAGATGTAGGAGTTGGCACAGTGCAGGAACAACTTCCTTGATGAATGCCCCATCTTTCTTGTTTCCTGCCAACTTTGTGTGGGGCCAGCAGGACTCATGCACCTGTAACAGGATTGTGCAGAGGTGCAGATCTCAGTCTGGGATGGATGGGTTCTGGGCAGGTCAGCAGGGCTGTTTTTAGGAAGGTGGTATGGTCATGCTAGCATAAAATGTGGGAAGATATTAGACTTCAGTCCTTAAGGGGTTTTGAGAGGCCATTCTTGATGTCTTGCCCAAACCCAGACTGCTCAGCATCCCACTCTTCTCCAGCTACCTGCAGCACCTCTGTGTGCATGAGTCAAATCCTACTAAAGACTTTCAGCCCAGAGCTGATCCTTGCCAGCCCCTGCCTTCGCTCATGCTTTGTTTTTCATTTTACCATCTATCCTCCCCAACCCTGCCCTGCCAACCCTCCCTGGCCACCTGGCAGTGCTGGGCATCCTGCTGCGGAGCAGTAATGCCCAACAGGGCTTCAGACTAGGAGCAGTGTTGCTGCAGCTGGAGATGTGCTCCCTACAGTTCAGCTCCCAGCAAGCACAGACCCTCAGTCATATTGGGGGTCCTTGGTTTCGGTGGTCGCTCTGGCTACTGTGGCTCTTCCAGCCACACAGGGACAAAGTTGGGAAGACCAGGTTGGCTCTGACTCCACCTCTTTGTGCAGCACTGGAGCTGAGTGGTTGTGCCCCTGCCCCCCCCTCTGCCTGGAGGAATTACACCGGTGTCCTTTAGCAGCAAGAAAAATATTACTGCAGGGAAATGTCTTGGATTTGTCCCACTGAATTTCAGGTGCTTGCCTGAGGAAGGCAAGGCTCTGCTTATGTTCTGCAATTTGGTCCTGTGCCCCATCAGTAGATGACTTGGCTTCTGAGTCAGAGTAGCCTCAGAAAGACTCTGATGTCCGCCTTGGCTGCTTTTCCCCTCTTGGGATTCAGCTGAGGTTGTGAGGCTGGTAGAGGCAGGACCAGAGCCAGAGCTTTGGTGGCAATGTTCCCCTAGAAACATCTCATGCTGCTTAAAGGAGAGAAACCAAGTTCCCATCAGATCTGAGCCTTGCTGATGGATAAAATGTTGAACGGACCAAAGTTTTTGGTGATCTCAGTACTTGGGAGAATCACTCTGATGTTCTCGGTCTGTGAAGTTTTGACTTTTCATTTCAAGGTAAAACTGAAGGAAAAATACCATTTAAACAAAGATGAAAACATGTGCTTTGGTCCAGAAAAGCATCTTATGCTGACCCAAAGGAACCACCAATGAGGGAATGGAGGAAGGGAGTCCATCTGCTCCGTACTTCTTTGGACTGTCTCCTGCTGAGGAGTCCTGGGGAAGGCGTAAGGGCAGACCTCCAGATTTCCTTATGACTCTGGCACAGGCATTGAGCGGTGAACAAGTTGCAGATTGATTTACCATTTCCCCCTCCGCTAGCTCCTCTATGGGCTCAGTGTGCTCTGAATTCTTTCACCCTCATTCCCCAGCCAGATAAATCCATCATCGGCTCGGCTGCGGCGAAGGCGATTCTGTTCCTTTCTTTCTGCCGCAGCGCTGCGGGGCATGTGGCTTTGCAGATGATTGAATTCCTGTGACTGCTTCCTCACCCCCACGTTCCCAGCTTGCTCTACAGATCCAGAGCAGCCCAGCAATGCCCGGGATTGTGTGCACAGGCTGCGCTCTCAGCCTTGTACCAGCAAAGCATGCCCTCTGCTGTCACCACTGCCGCAAGATCCGCTCTCATCGCAGCTCGCCTCCTTGTCTGTGGCCTACAAAATGCTCTCCAGACTCTCTCAGCTCTGCTTTC